CCATTCTAGAAAAGGAACAACGCATGCAGGCAATGAGTCGACCAGGAGCTGGCAGGCCCGTTGATTTGTGCAGGACCAGCTCCAGGTGGCAGGGAGTCCGAGAAAAGCTGCACCAATGGCCAATGAAGGACAGAGTCCACCTAGCTTGTGACCTAATCCCACGGGACACTGAGGTGCAGGGAAGTGTGCAGACTCTCAAGCCCGAGGCTGCTCCCCAGGGATGTGGCCCCAGGTGGCCAGGGATGTTTTGACTTGGCTGAAGAGAGCCAGGTATGAGGTCTGATCTGTCTCCGTGTGGTTGGTGCCACAGAGAGAGAGGGATTGTCAGCGAAGTGGCTGGCGACAAGGAGGGGAAACGTGGCAAAGTGCTGATCCTTGCCCCTCCGTGAGTGAGAAAGGTGACGTTTGCCCACCTTGCCCTCTTTGCAGGGCAGTTTGTAAAGTTGCCTTTGCAGAAGCACTGAGTTAAGTGTTGATGTCTGCTGGGTGAATAGTAGCTGTTGATTGCTTTTTAAAAATACTGATCAAAAAAAAAAATACTGATCTTCCAGCAGATTGCTATGATTAATAAACAGAACACAAAGACAGGGACAGATACGGTGTGCCCTCCACTCAGTTAAAACCCCTGGACTAGGAAGAATTTCAAGAAGAACGTCCCCTACTCCAGCTCCTATAAATGTGTATTTGTAGGATTTATGGGAATTCAGGATGCTAAAGCAATCCACCCTCCTCCTCTGGGAATCAGCATCCCCCCCCAACACATACCACCTTGGGGCTTCTCTCTTTTGATAGCCTCCCACTTCTAGATGCCCGATCACCCTTCCACTACCAACTCATTTCTCCCCAGAGCCCTCCAAACCAAACCCACCGTCATCAAGTCAATGCCAATGCCACGATCCTACGCGAGGATTCACAGACTGTACATCGTTACGGGAGCAGACAGCCTCATCTGTCTCCTGCGGAGTGGCTGGGAGGTTTGAACTAGTGACTTTGCAGTTAGCAGTCTAACACTTGCCTGACAGCTCCATTGGGGCCCCTTTCACTCCTTTCCCACAGCCCATGTGGGAGCTCAACTCGCTCCTTAAAACCACCTCATCAATTCCACCTGGCCCTGTAGTGAATGCTGTACTGCTTCTCTCCTATTTACAGCTGAGCTTCGCAAAGAACACTGTCTCCTCTTCCTCGCCTTCCTTTCTCTCTGCCCAGCGCGTCCCAGCTGCTCCTCTAGCTCTCCTTTCCACACACAATCTATTAGGTGCCAAATAAGCGCAACACTAGCTAGCTCTCCAGGCACCATTCCCCACTCGGTAACATTCGGCCGAGGTGCCTCTTCTGTTCTTGGAGACGTCTGCTCTCCGGTCCCCTTCATTTCTTTGAGGGTTTCGTCTCTGTCTTCTGGGCTGGCTCTTCCTCTTATCACTTCTCCTCCTGTAGGTGCTCCCCAGAGTTCATCTTTCCTGAACTATCTTCTCCCACCATTCTGCATACTCTTGAAACTTGGCTCTCTTCCAGGGAGCTTTATCTGGACTAATAACACCCCAGTTCACCCATTGCTCAAGCCAGAAATTTAGGAGTGAGCATAAGACTTCTACCTTATCTGGCTAATCACCCAGGAACCACCCACTGGCTTTCCTAACCTGGATGACCCTTCTGAGCACAAATCTGAGTTTTCATTCTGTGCTCTTGTTCAAATGCTGTTATTCAAAACTGAGTGGACACCCAGTGTCTGTACCCCATCCAATTTCATTCTGTTTATCCCCCTCTAGTACTTACATAGTAAACTACATGATGAGCATACACCATGGCACACAGTACCTGCTCAATTAATGCTTATTGGATGTGTCTACTGACAGGCAAAAGAAAGAAGGGAAAATATATGCCACCCAGCCCTAATGGCCAAAGTTAAACCAAGGTAAGCAACAAAATTAACAAAGTAATATTGAATGGTAACCCTAAATATGAAATAAGTACCCACAAATCCAGAGTGGTAGAAAAGAGCTTACTTCAATCGCATTATATATATATTTAATGATATGAGAATACGCAAACCATTCCAGAACCTAGAAGAGAATGGCAGGTGCCCAAGTTCATTTTATGAAGTGAGGGCTACCCTTGCTACCAAAACCAGGCAAAGACATTACCAAATAGAAAAGTATAGACAGTTATCCCTCATGAGGATAATTCAAACATTCTAAACAAAATCTTAGCCAATAGGTTCCAACAGAATATCAAAAACAACAACAAATATTATGTTGAGATAGTATTCGTGCCAGGTGTGCAAAGATGGGTCAACATTAGAACATCAAGCTCTGCTCGTCACCATAGAAGTAAAACAAAAGAAAAGAACTATGTGATCATATTGATTGATACAGAAAAGGCATTTGAAAAAATCAAACACCATTCCTGATTAAACAAACAAACAAACAAAACCTCAGCAAATGGGAGTAGAGGGAAATTCCTCAACATAATACAGGCTATATGCAAATACAGTATATGCTGTACTGCAAGCCAACAGCTTACTCAATGGGAGAAACCATTCCTCTCGCACATGGAAACAGACAAGGTTGCCCTTTATTGCCCTCTTAAGTCTATATTGTACTGGAAGTCTTAGAGCTATTAAATAAAAATAAATCAAAGGCATGCAATTGGCAAAGATGAAGTAAAACTCCTTCTTCTCAGATGATATAACTCTATATGTACAAAACCCAAAGATTTCGCCAAAAATGTACAAGATCAATGAACAAAAATCAATTGGATTCCTGTATACTAATGAAGAGAGCTCTGAAAAAGAAATCAAGAAAACAGTAGCATTCACAATATGCATCCAAAAGATGAGACACTTAAGAGAAAGACCCGAGAAACGAAATATTTGTACAAAGGAAACTCCAAAACATTGCTAAGAGAGATTCCCCACCAAATGAAAGAATATACCATGTTCATGGATAGGAAGACTTAACATTGTAAAAATGTCAACAATACCAAAAAGCCAAACCTACTGCCACTGAGTCAATTCTGACTCACAGTGACCCTTTATAGTGTTTCAGAAGCTGTAAATCTTTACAGGAACAGGTAATCTCATCTTTCACCCATGGAGAGGCTGGTGAGTTTGAACCATTGACCTTGAGATTAACAGTACAATACTTACCTACAGCGTAATCAAGGCTCTTATATTAAGTTGGGTTCTCTAAAGAAATGTAACAGTGATGCTTGCATGTGTATGTATACAGAAAGAGACTTACATCAAGAAATGGCTTACTTAGTTGTAGAAGGAGGTAAATCTCGTCCATTTCAAGTCTGTAGATCAGATGTAAGCTGGAGGTTTCTCCTGACTGGTGTCGCTGCAGAAGCTGACGAACAGGAAGCAGGACGCTGAAGCAGGAGGACCACAGGTTGGTGAATGCAGGCTTGAGTGAATCTGAGCCCAGACGTCCAGTGATGGATCCTGGGATTGGCAAGCAACACAGTAGGAGGTTGACAAACTGGACATAAGGTCCATCTCCAGCAGAAGGCAAGGGGCAAGAGAGAAATCGGTTCTGCTCAGGGGCTCTCTCATACAAAAGGTCAAACTCCCAAGGAGGAGTCATTAGGCTGTGACCTGATTAATGGTTGGGTTCCACCCCCACATTCACCCAAATATATCTCAACAAACAAATTCACTGCCATCTACTCCATTCTGACACTCAGCAACCCTATAGGACAAGGTAGAACTGTCTGTGTGGGTTTCTGAGACTGTAACACTTTACGGGAGTAGAAAGACTCATCTTTCTCTCTGGATTTGTCTAATCAATATAAAATCTAACCATCACAGACCACTCCTTGTCAACTTGACACCTGTCCATCACTCTTTCACCCTACATAATCTCCGAACCAAGACAATAATAAAGTCATACTTGTATCTAACATGATACAACTAACACACATAAACTGAAAATACACCCCAGTTTCATCTTATATTTTGTAAGTGGACAAAACAAAAATATTTGACACATACAAGCAAATCTGAATTTCTCATAACAAGTCTAGTTCTTGTTCTGCAGCTGGGCATGTGACCATAACTGATATTTATAACTACCTTCTTCCCCTGCCTATTGCATATTTCCTTTGCTCTCAGCAAGTACCTCATCTGGTCATGGTTCTTTGCCAGGTAGGGTGACCCAAACCTTAATTCCTGAAGACTCTGGGCTATTAGTAGTCATGTCAGAATTGGGTGCTGTAGTTTACCATTAACTTTAATCACAGGACATGGTAGTACCAAGAGACAACTTTAGTAATCTCCTGGCTCCAAACATATTCTTTTTTACCTCCATTATACAATAATTCAATTTGCCCTCGGTAATCAGGATCCATCACACTACTTAACACAGTGACTCCCTCCTTTGCTGTTGCTCCAAATGCATAAGTCCCAAATGGCTAAGAGACAGTCTTAATGGGATGAATGGAATCATTCGTTGGAACCGTGCTGTCTCTGGGTGGAAGAATTCCTTCCCTTGGAAGTAACACCCCCGGACTGAAAAGCATGGCTGCGGGGGTAGGAAGCACAAAATGCCGTGAGTGGGTTCCTTTTTTTGTTTTTAATCATTTTATTAGGTTGCTCATACAACTTTTTTTTTTTCATTTTAAAAATGTAATTTATTGGTTTTAAAAAATTTAAACATGCAAATACAATATGACTATTTCTTTAACAATAGGTTCAAATGAGCAGTTTATGTGAGGTAAGCTGACAGTTCCATGAAATGATCTGCCTCTGGGAAGGATGAGGATCTCCAAGCTGCAGAGCCATTTCACCGTATTATGTCATCTCCAATGGCATTTCATAAAAATATCATTTTTATAAATTCACTTGAGTGACAGATTTAAGTATCAGAACAATGAAGTATCATTCTAATGCTTACATACTTTTTAGTTCTTCATAGAGAACTAGATAAGTTATGTGCCCACCAGCCATGTTTCTGACCTGGTGAAGGAATGCCCACGAACTGCAATGACCATGAATGTCCCGGCTACATTAGCCAAACAGCCCTCACGATGAACTGAATGAACTTCTCCAAGCTTTGAAGGCTGAGGTTAATCGTTGTATTCTTCAGCCACTTGATGTTTACCTGCCACGTGGGCAGCTCAGTGGCACTTGTGGTTGGGTCAGGGGTGGCTATTTCATTTGGATGGTTTTCCTTCAGGAGCTGGATCAGTGCTTTGATGCTCTTCAGCACACCTGAGAGCTTTCTGTTCTCTTCTTCCAAAGTGTTCCCCACGAATTTCATGTAGCTGTGGAACTGTGAAAGGCCAGTGATGATTCTCCTCAGGCAAGTCTCCTTGTTGAATCCATCTTGGAAGCATCTGTCTTCTTCTCTCATCTTTGGAAGGTTCAGATTGTTTTCTGCCAGTGCTCTCCTGCTGTTTTCACATTTGTCTTTTTTATCACATATCTCCTTTCTCAGTTCCTCGACTTGGGAGAGAGTGGACATCAGGACGTCCAGAATTTCTTTTGAAGAGGTGCGTGGTGTGTCTGAGATGGCATCACCTTTAGAATCTCCTTCCAGGGGTCTCGGAGTAGGGAATGCAGAAGCCATCATCAGGAGAAGCCCCAGGGAGAAGGCGACTGGACTGAAGGTGCTTGTTGAGAGGGACTTCATAGTTGAGTTTCTGATGGGCAGATGCAGCGCTCTTATGTTCCTCTTCAGTCCGGACGTCAGTCAAGGGAAGGGCCTCGGCTTCTTCTGGAACTTGTGGTCACACCGCTGGTTCCCAGTATGACTTGACTTGCTGAATCCATAGGTAGCTCCGGGACGGCCATGATACCAGCAGCCAGGTCTGCGCAGAGAGCGCTCATACAACTCTTATCACAATCCATACACACATCAATTGTGTAAAGCACATGTGTACATTCATTGCCTTCATCATTCTCAAAACATTTCCTCTGCACTTAAGCCCCCTGCATTAGGTCCTCATTTTTCCCCTCCCTCCCCCTCCCTCATGAGCCCTTGATAGTTTATAAATTGGTATTTTGTCATATCTTGCCCTGTCCGACGTCTCCCTTCATCCACTTTTCTGTTGTCCGTCCCCAGGGAGGAGGTCACATACAGTTCCTTGTAATCGGTTCCCTCTTTCCAACCCACTCTCCCTCTACCCTCCTAGTATCAACAGGTGAGTGGGTTCTTAAGAGAAGCAGTCCCATTTACCCTCCTTGGTTCCTGAACATATGAATTCCTTCGATTGGAAAAAGAGCACCATGTATTGGACACCGGTGTAGAGCAGACACAGCCTCCCGGAGAACATAGCCCCGGATCTCTGCAAAGTGTCGCCCCCAGGCTGATGCTGTGTTGTGTTTTCAGAAGTCCGTTCTATCATGCCATCCAGGCCGTTGCTTCTGGATGAGGGGAACATGGTAAGACCAGTGGATTGCAGGTGTATGGGCCCACGGCTGCACTTCATTTGCTGTGAAGTGAGTTCCCTGATCTGAGGCAATGCTGTGTGGGATGCCATGCTGGTGGATGAGGTATTTTTTAAGTCTACAAATGGTAGCTTTGGTAAAAGGTGTATCCTCGGGACCTTCCCTCTGTGGATCTGTGGGCTTATCCCTATAAATCCATTCTAGCACGCCAATCCCCTCGGCTTTGGGATGTCTTCTCTCGTATACCGTGATAAGTCTGGAGCTTCAACTTGACTTTGTGTGGACCATCTTACATCCCGGGCTTCATGGAACAAACCAAAGAAACGATTAGATCCTCCTTTACCTCGGGAGCCGGGACACTGAACGAAGAATCCATGCTTAGTGGGTCCATGTCAATAAACTCAGACCGATCCAGGCTTCTGAATATTCCTTGCACCATTATCCAACACCCTTAATAACCATTCCCATACATGTTCTTCAGGTTTCTGTATGAATATATTAGAAAACTCCAGCAATTCTATTTTTTTTTTTTTGTTTAAACCCATTGTATTTTTAGACAACTTACACAATGTTTTTTCCTTTCCTTTAAAAAAAAAATGCCTCCCCTCCAAATAAATGCAGGTCAAAAGTAAACACGAACTCAAGACAACCTCGGCTCTGCTTTCAGAGTGGGTGACTTGTGGAGGGGAGGCTGGTTAGGATCATGAGCTGCCCGTGCATTAACATGTCTCCATCTCTCAGCAATCCTGAAAGAGGATCGAATACCGGGTCACGCCATCCTCCCGGTGGTCCAGCAGAGCAACCCGGCCCTCTGGATTCACGTTCTCACCCAGAAAGGAAGCATCGCTTTTGAAATGTGCAAGGGCGCCCTTGGTCGGTTCTGCAGCCCCGTCATAAAGGCTATACCCTTGCTGGTTTCTGTTCTGCGAGCTTGCCTTTGATTGATGTCGCCTGGTCTCCGCTGTGCTTCTTGTCGGCATCTGTGGGGAAGCTGGTTTCCTCCAGGGATGGTTCCTGACAACATCCACACCGGTGACCACGGTGCTTCCTGATCCAGCGCCCGGGGGCCTTCAGCCGAGGCATTGCCACCGATGAGCGAGTCTTCGATGTGACCTGTCCTGCGGTCCATCTTCCCTCCACTTCCAGCCACAGCCCGTCTGTCCGCGATCTCCCGGATCTTGTAGATGTCGGAGAACATCTAAGGTCCGCATAGGTGATCAGGATGGCGGCTAGAGGGAGCGGGGAGCTCTGAGCGAGCACGGTGCAGCAGGAGCGGCACCCGGGGACAGGGAATCCTGGGGAAAGGAGGAGCACACTCCAGCAATTCTTTAGGACCTAGTGAACCTCTTCCTGGGTCACCTTCTGAAGCTCACGTCGGGAACTCCCTGTGACTTCAGTCAGGCTGTAGAGGTGATAATGGGCGAGGAAGATGCTTCTTGGGAACAGGTAGCTCTTGTCTTGTAAGGCATTTGCCAGGAGATGCTTCTGCTGCAGCCCCAAGTGACATGGCGGCGTGCACCGTTGAGCCACTCTCCGGTGTGAGCGGGGCTCGAGTGATTTCACTGAGAGTGGCTTCGTCTTTTCAGAGGGGAGGGCTGGAGCTGGTACTGAGGGGTTCAGTGGAATCTACGGTCCCGGTGTTTCTGTCTTTGGATTATCAGCCCACATACTCCCCCGCTCAAGTTTCAGAGTCCCATGTCCTTCCAATCCGTGCTGGAGCTGTACTGGCAGACATCTTCCTACATGGAGTAGTAAGCTGGCATTACAACCCAGCTACTCGTAGGATAAGACGCTGGGCTTGGTTTTCAGCAAGATCGGTTCTGTAGTAGAAGAGGGAAGGCTTTCTGACGTGGCACCCACAGAAGCGCTGAGGTCTTTTATTCTTTGGCATGTGAGCCGGGCTTCTGAAGTTCTGAGTTCACCTCTTTCCTCCACCAATTTGTCTATTGTAAGTAGTACCAACCAACCCGCTCTCCTATACTTCTCATTCTGATAAAATGGTAGAAAGATATCAAACAAGCTATCACCCCGAGCCTCGTTTCTCACCAATACTTCCTCTATCAGTGGTGCTACTTGGGGTATTATCTTTGGCACCTTACACCATGGGTTAAGGGTGCCCTCTTTACTGATAGTGACAGACCAATACCCATCTCTATGGAGACAGAGGCAGAGTGCTCCATGCCGTTAGGCCTAATCAGTCCTGAAAACCAATTTAGAGAACTCATCTTTACAATTTTGCTTCTCTAGAACCCCTCCTGGTACCAAATGTATTAAGTCAGATTCTCTAGAGACGCAAACCCAATGATAGTTGGACGTGTGTAAAAAATAGAAAAAGATTTATATCCAGAAATGGCTTACACAGCTGTAGAAGTGGGTAACTCCATCTGGTTCAAATCGGTGGGTCAGATGT